CCATACCACGTACACACTATAGTCTGAGTGATTAACATGCATGAGATCATCTACAAAGAGAATTTCCGAAGACTGTCAGTTCATGGTGCTCGACACGACCAAAGGAAACGACCTGAGAGATGGGGGAAAGGCTGAAAATGAAAACAAGCCTACCTCATCAATTTGGCTTTTTCTTTACAGGGGGGAAATTAACACATACATGGTGATTCAGAACATCAGACACGGGCCTTAAATGGAGGGGCGAAGTAAATGTCAAGTCTCGTTCTCCTCACGCTGAGCTCCAGCTCCCTCTCAGCCATACGCACAGCCTGCTCTGCAAAGGCAGCATCAGGAGGAGGGCAAGTACCACTGTGGATCTGGAGTAGGCTGGAAACAGGATCCAAAACAACAAGAACAGCAAATTTGCTCTCTGCCAAGAGTAGTTTACAACCCCCAGCCATAAGGAGCTGAACAAGCAGCTTGAGAAAGTCACCACCTCTCAAAGAGAAACCCTGCCAATATTGAGGCCATTATACTGCACAAGGAAACCAAGAACCAACCACAAGGTCAAGAGCAAGTAAATCAATCAGCAAAGCATAAACACCACACTCGGATCTACCAGTTGGGAGCAGAGAAACATCGCAATCCAACTCAGGCTGCAATCATTTTTTGCTACCAAATTTAATCAGTTGTAAACCCTTAGCTTCTTTTTTTTTTTTTTAGCTTTTTTTTTTTTTTTCATTTCTTCAATCCAGAAGACTGAAGAGTCATTTTGCTTTCGTTTCTTGGTCCCATAGTTTCTTATGTTCTAAAATAGTATGTTCACATTTGGGTCACACTTAAAGCACTCCTTTTCCACTGGGTTTCTGTTAGCTATTTTAATGATTTCTTTTTGTAGAGCAATTTTTAAAAGGTTATTTTTCCAATTAAAGAGAGTCAGATACTACTGTAATTTTCACAATTTGAAATAAATTTGTACATTTCAAAACAACCATATCAAATATCAATGAACGCACCACTCTACACTGAAAACATTTAAAACAGAAAAACAAGAACAGAATTTTTAAAAAGTTAAATCGACTGTTTTATGGGAAACATAATTGTCTCCTGTTTTAAGACTAACGGACATCAGATTATTTACTGACATTAGTATGCAGAAGCTTCTACTGCAGATGCTAACAACGAAACTCACAGGCCCCCAACCATTTTTATTTCAAATACACTACTTGCAAACCCTGATCGAAAGGGGACATCTACTGGTAGCAAAGATTAGTGTAGGTAGTAAACGCCAAACCAACAGTTTAACAAAGTTACAATACCAAACTAAAAATCCACTGATGCTCCTGACAAATGTAAAAACTCCTACTCCTGCCAGCAAATTAAGATTACTAAAAGAGAAAAAAAAACCCAAAAAACAAACAAAAAAACCAACAACAAAAAAACCCCAACAACCAAAAAAAACCCCACAGCAAAAGATAATCTCTCAAAGACACAGCTAACATTAAACAGATACAATTATAACAGTATTTCAGTAATGTTTACAGAAGGGAGGGCATTTTGTTTAAACTCTATTTTTTATTATCAGCAAGTACACAGAAAATAACATCAAATAGCCAGATTTTTTTTTAAATCATCAAGTATATAAAGTAAAATGAAAAAGGAATATAACAACATACCAATATAAGAAACGGCAATTAGCAAGTCTGGATTAACATACCATCATCTTTATTTGAATATTTACATTTCCAACTGCATATCCAGCTCAATAATATAGTGGTCCTTACCTAATTATATAAAAAGAAAAAAAAGGGGGGGGGGGGGGAACAGGCCTCTGGTTTGTTTTAGGTTTGAATTTTAAAAATCCATATCACAAGTAGATCTAAAAAGGCAAAGTTTGAAACTGACTACAGGCAAACCTTGGCAATTATCAGGAGAATTTTCAGCTTTAGAATGTTTCAGGTTATCTTTAGATGCAATCAGCTTTTAGAAGATACTGTAAGCGGTAGACTCAAAATTCATTACCGTGGACTTTGTCAAACACAGATCTATACAAAATGGGATGCAACCGGTTAAACAGCGAGCCATTTTAACTAACTGAAATGAAACAAATATTATTTCAAAAATGGAAGTGTTGAAAGGCTTTTTTTCTTTAAAAAAAAAATTCAGGAATTGAGTTTCACTAATAAAAGTTTGTTGAAAATATCTCCGTTCACATAAACAAGCAAACCTTAAAAGCCTGTCTCGTGTGAGTCTGCTTTGCAAATGAAGAAATTCCAACACAAAACACCTGATCTGGAAGCACAGCTGTAACTGTTAAAATAGAGAAGAGCCATTTCAAACTCTTCAGTCTCACCTCATCTCAAACAAAAGTAATAAGAATAAGCTACCTTCTCTCTAAACTAGGGAGGAATGCCCCATGTGATGACCAACGTATAAATAATTTCTAGGTAAAACTAGCAGTATCAAGAGAACGGGAGCAGAAATACATGAGTAAAGGTATCATCTCCAAACTAGCACCATCAGAAGCACGAAACTAGGAGAAGAAATACAAAAAATGCTCATTCTGTTCTTCAATTACATAACGCAGCAATACAAGTGCAGGTAAGGCATTTTGCTGATTAGGAGCACGGAATAAGCTTCTTTTTGAGAAACAACTTTTGTGGCTGATAACAGAGCGTGAGAACCCTTTATTTAACAACAGTAATTTTTCTTATTCCATTAAACCACACGCATGTAAAGACAGCAATCCCTTTGATAAGGCTTCCACAACACAGCATGGCCTAAAAATTCAATCGGAAGGAATAAAGGCATACCTCAAAGAGGAGAAGAAAAAAAAAATTTAGGCCTTACCCCAAGTTCCCAGCCTTTTCCAGTGACGTAAGCCATCCTTCAGAGACACGTGACGCAAGCGTTCATGTTTCATTTGTACAGGAGAACTCTTGGATTTGAAAGCCAGCTCATCAGCTATAAAGCCTCTACTGCCAAATTGCAGGTAAGCAGCTCCAAACTGACATTACTTCTGGTGCACGCTGCTTCCGCAAGCGCAGGTAAGGTATAAACGTAAGCACACCTTAGCTTCCAGAAGTTACCTGCCATGCCTGAGGTCTCCAGCATTCAAAGTGTATCTGCTTCAACACAACCCCTCCTGCCGGCCTCAGAGCAGACCGCCCTCGCACAGCTGAGCCCCATAAGCCCTCGGGGGCAGCCGGCCGCTGGGTCACATCCAGCGGGCCAGGAAGGGAGGGCCTCCTTACGTGGGATTTGTTCCTTACATTGTTGCAAGAAAACTGCAAACGCCAACAGCAAACGCAGCCCGGTTGTGCCAGTGGCTAGGGGAGAAAACACCCGCTTGCAACCATGTGTCAGGTCCTGGGGCATGGGGAGGGAGGCCGACGTGCCCTCTGGCCCTCTGGCGGGGCCGGGGGGCCCTCCAGGGCCACAGCCGCCTGCGGAGGCTCCTCGGGACCCTCTGCCCCCCCCGCCCTGGGGCCGACCCCCCGGGAAACCCCCCCGGCCCCG